AATTAACCTCACTTACCTGAAGAGTTATAAATGTTTTTCTATCCCCAACAGTGCATGTATTGCAGCTAATAAGAGTTCCAATTTCCTTGAAAATGAAATGTTGCTTAGCTGTCCAAATAATAAAAAAAATAATAAATTCAAACAATCTAGTCAGTAATTCTTAAGATGCTACTAACTACTCCATGTCTAAGAGTCAACTCTAAGCTTTAAAGACAATAAATGCAAGTTTCCTAAGAAGGTCTTTGATGACAAAGTTTACCAGCAGACAGTTTCTATCCCTGTTGAGCAAAATATTTGAGTAAAGAATGTTAGAACATTGTTGAATTTTTAAGCATCAAATAATTTCCTTTGATGTACATTAGAAAATAACAGCTTCAAAGGAAAGCCATACATTCCATAGAGCGAGCAAAACCTTGTCAAAGGAATGAATTATGTCAAGAAATGATAATAAGATACCGAAACCAATGAGACACGCACCAACCTAGGCATATTAAAAACAAATTTCCAAGGTTACAATGAAAAAAAAATTTAATTAAAAGCCAAACCAAAGTGAAATATAAAATAAACCGGAAGCAAATGTCAAGAAAATACTAATTTTGTCAAGGTTGCCCGAGTTCTAACAATATCTAGCCTTAACAAACCTTGTTTAAGAAAAAGGAAGAGAAATGTTCCCTAGACCACAATAAATTTTTGAAATCAAGTCTATGTTCTAGCTCATGTTTTTGTTGCTTTATTGTAAGGTGCTTTTCGGCTTAAGGAATTAGATTCTTTAAAAGTTTTCTTTTGTTCCTTTTGTGTGTCTGTGTGCAATTGGATTCTTTAGAGACCTATAGTAGGTTGCAATTTAGATGCTCAGCTGCAGAATCAATTTATAGTCTTGAAGATGGTTATATTCTAAAAATACAATACCTCAGACAAACACAAGATCATCTATTTCACATTTTCCTTGATTATATTCGAAAAATTATGTGATATATTGTTGCACTGCATCAAAACCTACTTCGGATTCCCTTTAAGGAATTCAAGTAAACTCTGAACCTAGTATTACTATTACTCCATTTCGTTCCATTCCTCCCACAAAAGAGTTGGTAGAAAATATGGCAATGGGAATATCTAATAGCTGACTCTTCAAAACCAACCAATTCTCTTCTTTACTAATATTGAGTTCATGAATCACTACAGAAAAAGAATCACCGTAGTTAGGGATATGGGTAAACCAAACAATAGTTAAGACAAAGACCTTAACCCCATGATGAAAAAAATTTGGAGATTCTTAATAACTGGAAATTTATTTCCCTAATGTTACAAAATAATTAAATACATTACTACTAATGTAGTTAATTATGATGGACATGTTCTGTTGAGTGGCAAAACCCAACAATATAGACAGGCTCAACCAATTTTGATGAAAAAAATTACTCTATTAACCAAGCTAAGGTTCATTCAAAATATTCTTTTTCCTTATTTTTTTTAGAGGAAAAGAGATAGGGTGAAATTAATATAGCTAACCAACATAAAATAATAATGATAATAATAACAATCCCTGACCCAAGGAAAAATTAACTTGTGAAATAATAATAATAATAATAGTCCATGACACTATACATAGAAAGATCAACTTGTGAAATTAGAGAATTTCTTCTACCTTTGTCTCACATTGGATCAAGGCTAAGTAGAAGTACTAATGTCTCAACCTGTACCAAAAGAGTATAACCGAACTCTATTATATTTGATAGAAGATAAAAGATGATTATAAAAACATTCAAGTTTCATAGAATAAAACTTGCAAGTACAACTTTAACATGAATAAAAATTAAGTTTCTAACAATAGATGTAAATAGGCTATAAGAAAAATAGAATTAACTAAAACATATAAAACAATAAAGACTTTATTCCAAGTTTCCATTCACAGCCAAAATCAAAACCATACAAAAGTAAAAAATCTGTAAAATAATGAAATGAAATTGCCATGAAATTATAGCAATGATGCTGAAAATTGACAGCAAATAAAGCTACAATTTGACAGCAAATATGGCAGCAATTTGGTTGCAAATATGATGGAAATGAAGCTATAAGATGTTAGCAAAAATGTGCAGCAAGCTAAGCTGCAAATGTTGATGAAATGAAGTTGCAATAAGTAACAACTGAAATGCAAATGCAAATGATTAAAGAACTGCAGAGTGGCTGCAAAATGACAGTAAGCATGCAGCAAAAGTGGTTGTCTTTTACTTGTTTTAGATGTACTTTTATGGTTTCTTTTCAATGTAGAAAAGTTGCTTAGACAAAATAAGAAGCTTTTTGAATTGTTTTTAGGTTTATTTTATGCTATATATACCAAAGATTGTTAATGAGAAAATCTGAGTTGAGTGTTATACTCCTCTCCATTTTTGGTTCTGCTCTTCATCTTCTTCTAGATTTTCTATCCATTTCTTTGTGAAAAAAAAAAAAGAAAAAGAAAAAAAGAAAAAAGACAAGTAGCAATATTTCCAGCTCACATTTACATTGAAAAATGATTTTGTTAGGCAAAGAGCAAAGTTTGTGCCGTGCGTGTTAAAATAGGAGATCATGTCTTTAGCAGTTGTTAGTATGGCCATTGTCACTGCTGTTGGCAAGGTCAAGACGTGGATTGTTACTGCTTTTGACAAGGCCAAGGAGTGGGTTGTTGCCACTATTGTTGTTGCTGTTGTTGCTAGTGTTGGTAAGGCTAAGGGGTGGGTAGTTGCTGCTGTTGGCAAGGCTAAGGAGTGGATTGTTGCTACCATTGGCAAGGCTAAGGAGAGTGCAAGACATTACAAAGGTGGCCTCTATGTGTTTCTTACATGCATTGTTTCGGTTGTTGATGGCTTACTCTTTGGCTACAACATTAGAAATTTAGGTAAAATATTGGTTAAAAAAAAAGAGAAGAAAAAGCTCTTTTGAATAATTTAACTTCAAATTTTACTTCTGTAAGTTATAATTCTAAGTCGTTCATGGCTACAATTTATAATTGCTATAAATATTTAATCATCTATTATAAATGAATTACTTGGCAAGGGGAGTGACAACTATGAATGGCTATCTTCAGTAGTTTTTCCCTATAGTGTATGAAAAGATAAGGCAGAGACTTGAAAACAATTATTGCAAGTACAATAACCAAGGCCTCATTGACTTTACCTCATCTTCATATCTTGGTGCCCTAGTAGCTTCTTTGGTAGCACTTCTAGTAACAAAGAAGTATGGACATAGTGTGACTATAATTTGTGCAGGACTCAGCTTTTTTTGTTGGAGCTGCTCTTAATATTGCATCTGCCTACCTAGTCATACTTTTTTAGGTCAGATTATGCTTGGCTTCGGAACTAGATTCAAGGAACATGTATATTAATAATGAATTTTCTCAATTCATATTGTGTTAATTCTATTTATATTCAAATATTGATTAATTCATAATTCAGGCTGTTCCACTTTATTTGTTGGAAATGGCACCTATTCATCTCCAAGGAATCATCAAGAGTATATTCAAATTAGCTATTAAGTTGGGCACTTTTATAGCTAATGTGGTTAATTATAGAACAAAAAAGCTGGCCTATTCAAGATGGAGGATCTCTCTTGGCCTCACAGGAGTATTGGCACTTTTGTGACAATGGAGCAATTCTTCTTCTCAAGACACCTAAAGGCTTAATTGAGCAAGGAAAAAGGGAGAAAGGCAGAAGAATCCTTGCCAAAATCAGAGGAATTGATGATGTTAACATAAAGTTTGAGGACATGATACATGCTAGTGATTTGGCTAACTCTATCGAGCATTCATTTAGGAAAATGCTTGACAGAAGAAACATACCAATATTGGTAATGGCCATCTTCATGCTAGCATTCAAAATCCTAATGGGCATGAGTTTCATTCTCTTCTATACTGCAGTGTTCTTTCAAAGCATAGGGTTTGGAGAAAATGCATCGCTCTATTGCTTAGTTGACATAGTAGCCGTTATGGTTGTATCTACCTTTATATCCATTGCCATAGTAGATCGATTGGGGCAAAGAGTTTTACTCATCAGTGGTGGAATTCAAATGATTCTATGTCAGGTAAGATATTCAGTATTAATTTGCAAATGCATAAAATAAGAATAAGATACTCATAATGAAAAATTAGAAAATTCAAAGCATTGAATCATTTATCTTTAAAATAGATCATAATTGCTATAATCTTGGGACTTAAGTTTGGGGACAATCAATCTCTGTCCAAGGACTATTCAGCATTGGTGGTGGTGGTGCTTTGCCTCCTTGTTTTAGCCTTCGAATGCTCATGGGAGCCTGTAAGTACTGATAAGGTGTTGGATGAGATATTTACATCAGAAAAAAAGTTAGCTAGACAAAGCATCAAAGTAGTTGTTGAATTTCTATTCAGCTTTATAATAGCTCAAAGCTCCCTTTCCATGCTTTGCACACTCAAGTTCGGTATCTTTCTGTTTTTTGTTGGTTGCAATATTATAATGACCTTATTCGTTTACATGTTGGTGCCTGAAACTAAGGGAGTTCCAATTGAAGAGACAATAGTTTTGTGGAAAAACCATTGGCTCTAGAAGAGAATAGTCCTTGCATCTAGAGGTTGGTGGGAGTATTTACAAGGACAATGTTGTTTCATTCGAATTGAGTGCTGAAGCTGTGCATAAACTGTGCATAAATTGTGCATACGCTGTGCATAAACTGTGCATAAGCTGTGCATAATAACCTTCTCTTTTGTTCCTTAGCAAACTTCAAACTTTGTTTTTGCTCTTGCTCCACACAAACTTGTTTATTGGCAGCCAAGTCTTTGTCCAACAAAGTAATTTTGTCTTTCAAGTCCATCACTTGTTGATCAGACAAATCTTTACCCCTTTTAAGCAATTCATGTTCAAGAGCTGAACCATCATACTTTTCTTGCAAATGACCTCTTTGAGAATGGCTAAACTCCAACTTAATAGTCAAATCTATGATAGTGGATTCTTTGGTATTTATCACCTTCAGAGGCAAAGATAGATTTTTTATCCAAATAGACCTCCATTGCTCATATTCTGGTCTAGTTCCATTTTCTTTCCATATAGGTAACATCTTACAATTGACCCACAATTCATGTGCCTCAAATATCTTGTCAACAATCTTCATAGGAGATGCATGATCAAAAGGAGGAGGTAAACCATTATTTAGATAAGGAACACCTCGTGCTTATCCAAACTGGCAACGAACTAACTCCATATAATAAGAAATTCCCCCACAGATACCTAACAAAGGAATAAAGTGGTATCTCTCAGGTGGATGAAGGTAATAAGTGGCACTCCAAGATGAAGCACAAATTTGACATCACTAATAGAAGCAGACAAGAAAATTTGATGCCAATCCTCTACTTTCCTATTTTCTATAGGAACACTAAGCAAAGTTGCAAATCGAGGACCTATGAAGTGATTGTGTGCCCATGCAGTAAACAACTTAGTGCAACCCAAGAAGCGACCTTTACGTTTTGCCCAAATAACTTGCATAGATCTTAAGGTTTCAGTGACTACAGTCGAAGCAAGATTGAATGCCAAAGTAGACAACAATTGATCAAATAGAGCCACCACCATAGGTGCAACAGACTTAACATAAATAGGAAATATGACCATGCCATAAACCCCAAGTGCCACAAATCTGATCCTTTCTGAAGATCTCATATTAGATAAACTGTTGCCCATAGTTGTAAAAGCTACATCCCAATTAAACCCATAAGTATCCGTATTTAGTAAAGGTTGTGTGAAATTAAAAGAAAACCCACAAATACGTTGCAACATCTCTTGAACCATTACACGTGAAAGCTGCATATGCTGCTGTTTAAGGGTAAAAGTATGTGAATCCACTGTAAGACTACATCGTAAGAATTGATGATACTCATCAATAGTAAGTACTAGCTCAAACTGAAGGAACACAAATGCACCATATTTAGGAACATAAAATTTCAACATAGTTTTAAACAATTTCCAATCTGGCACAATAGAAAACAAGTACACAATATGTCCAAATTGCACCTTAAAATCATACTTTTCCTTAGAAGACAAGGTCATAGGCTGCCTTTAGCAATGTTAGGTCTAGCTTGGTACTAGTAACTGAAAAGTTGAAATCATTGGACTCCTTAGAAGCAAAATGAGATGCATAATCCTCCCTTGACCTTTTCCTTTGTCTGGCAATATCCTTGATAAAATCCATAGTTGATGCACAATGTATGGCTTACCTATATTATATAAAAAAAAAAAGCTCAATGATGTAAACACAAATCATAGCCTCATGTGTTATACCTCAACAAATATGAATGGTTAAATTCCCGTTTTGATCCCTCTACTTTAACAAAAAGCTCCTTTTTAATCCCAATACTTAAAAAACTCCTTTTTAGTCCCTAAAGTTTGAAATGCAAGCCTAAAAATTAATAACCACTTAATCTCCAAAAAAAAAAAAAATAATTA